CCTCACCCCGGCATCGCGCGTCTGCTCGGCGATTCCCAGCCCGGTGCCGTGAAACCACAGCCTGGATTCGGTGAGAGGGTCCCCGGTGCTGCTGCCACGGGGGCGAAGATGCGATTCCCTCCCTCCTGTGCTGGAGGTTTGTGCTGGTGTTGGCTCTTCTCATCCCCTTGGTGCCATCGGAGCGGGGCTGGTGATGCCGCCGTCCCTCCGTGGGTGTCTGAGGGAGGTGATTTTGCTGTTACAGCTCTTAACTCTGCGTCACTTCAACGGTGGGAGGAGAGATCGGACACTTCCCGTAGTATCTCGTAGTAGCTGGTTCCGTTCAGCTTGAGTTTTGCTGCTCTGTGCCCTGCACGGAGGGTTTTACTGAGTGTCTGTGCTGCACTGAGGAGTCTGAGAAATAAATCTTCCTGAGAAAAGACCCCTAAATCCCCCGTGCCATAAGGAAACACCCCAAATTCCTGTGCAGTGTTAAAAAAAGGTCACAAATCCCTGTGTGGTGTTAAGACCCCAAATCTGCCGTGAGACATTAGACCCCAAATCCCTCTGTGACATTAAAAGACCCCAAATTCCTGGGCAATGTTAAAAAAAGATCACAAATCCCTGTGTGATGTCAATAAAAGACCCTAAAATTCCTGTGCAACGTTAGACCCCAAATTCCTGAGTGATGTTAAGAAAAGACCCCAAATCCTTGAGTGATGTTAAGACCCCCAGATCTGCCCTGTGACATTAAAAGACCCCAAATTCCACGTGCGATGTTAAGAAAAGACCCCAAATCCTTGAGTGATGTTAAGACCCCCAGATCTGCCCTGTGACATTAAAAGACCCCAAAATTCCTGTGCCACGTTAGACGCCAATCCCTGTGTGACATTAAAAGACCCCAAATTCCACGTGCGATGTTAAGAAAAGACCCCAAATCCCCGGTGTAACCTCACTGGGAGCCTTGGGGGGACTCCTGGGCTCTTGTTGGGCTCTCAGAGCCCCCCCATGACATCCCCTCGCCCGGGGAGCCCTCGCTGCCGCCGTTGGCTGATGGAGGAGAGGCCAGTGGGGCTGGAAACGCGGCTGCGACACGCAGGGGGTGAGAACCTCCAGCAGGTTCTGCTCAATGAGAGCGGGGGAGGCGGCTTCGGGGGCTTTAGTGGCAGCTCCCTGAGGTGTTTAGGGGTGAAACTCCCCTGTGTCCCCCCCACCCCGTCACTGCATGAGCGACATCCCGCTGGTGAGTGAATGGAACCCAAATTAAGTGTTTATTTTAATAAAGATTTAACAATGAGTGAGTGGCTCCCGGTGTCTCCCCGGGGCATCCTCAGTGCTT